TTTCAATAATTTTAAATTTCACTATTTCAATTTAAAAATTAGGCTAGATGATGTGGCAACAAGTCTAACCGATTGTTCAAATAATTTAAATTAAACAAAATGCACCATTTGTAAATGCAAAGTTTAAACCTCAAGCTCTCTCACAAGTATGAGCTAAAACAATGACCTATAAGTAGCAAGGAAAAAAAATTTCTAGTATTAAAAGGATTTAAATGTTCAGCAGCTTCCCAATCAAACAAGAGATACACACATACCTGATTTTACTGCACATGTGATTGCATAGGGCTGATCTTTGCAAAAACAAACAAATCCACCATGAGTTGTAGTTGTATTATTATACCCACATGTTCCTCCTGATCCCTCACAATAGTTGCATTGGTCATTATCAATCTGCAAGCCCAATTCAAAACCCTCATCCACCGCATCTTCGATGCTTGTTTGATTGTTCTCAAGAGCCAGAGCAGCTGTTTTAAAAACTGGAACAAGCACCTCAGTTTTGCAGGTATAGTTAGCAACTGGATGCTCATCACCTGTTTGATGAAAGGCCACACTGACATCACTGCCGTTTATTGTGCAAACCTGTGAATTAGTAGATGGTGTACTTGTATTGCATCCGTAGTAAAAGGTCAGGTTTGCAAGCCCAGAAGCATAATTAAACAGAGAAACGTTGATGCTGGTGTTGACTAAAGTACGCTGGGGACAGATTTTGTTCCAATAATCCTGCCTTGCAACTTTAACAGTCCGAGGATTTTTCGGGTTCATTTCGAGTATTCGGAAGCTGGTATTCACCATGTTGATCACCGGGACATTGTCTAGGCATTGAACTTCAAACCCAAGTTGACCACAGTAACTTGCTCTGTTGACTCCCCAGAAGGGGTACCCGATGTCTTTGATGCCACCACAGTTAATAGCTTTTCTGCAGTTTGCATATTGTGGATCTTCTCCACATAGACAAAACTGTATGTTGATTGAAATGAAGAAACAGATGATCAAAAGGAGGAGGTTTGAAGATTGAAATAGAAGAATTTGCATCTTCTTTTAGAGGAGAGTTCAGAGTGAGAGACGAGAAAGTCAAGTTAATGAACGAAATGGGAATTCACAGGTTTGCAACTATCTAGGAAAGAGGTCGTGATTAAGGAGTTCCTCAAGTATTTGTTTTTAATTTGTTGTGCCAAGTTTTCAATTGTTGGCCTTTGACTTTAATAAAAATATGGATAGAAGACTTTTCCTTGTGATCAAAGCAACCTGGTCACAGATTAGTATTTAAGACAGGATTATTGGAACACAATCTGTCCCCATATATCATTAGAGATATCAAAGCGAACTGGTTTTAAGATTTTTTAGTCAACTAACGATCAGAAATGATACGGGCAACTACTATTTTAATGAACCAGCTTGACTTGGTCATAACCAATATGTCGACAATTTTTTATTTTTTATTTTATGTTACTTGGCAATTTCTTTTCGAATAGAAATACCAAAGTGGAAGGACCGCGGAAAGTGAAGATACCTGGTGTTTAGATGAGGCTGATTTTGCATAAGAAATACAAAGCAGGATTTCCCACAGTTGCAGAATATACATACAAATTAAAATTAAAATTTATGTGAACAAGACACACCCAAATCAAATACATCCTATTTGGAGTTGATACATCATTAAATAAGTGGATATCAGCACATAACTTATTTCAACTGCTCTCCATGTAAAGAACAAATCACCACACTAAACCCTTTCTTCTCTTAAAGGTGTCAACTCGGTCAGTGCTCATCCGAGACTTTTCAGGCTTGTTTGGCTTTTTAGACTTCTCAAGTCGACTATCTAAGCTGTTTCTAGAAACTTCCGGAAGATCAGAACCCAATTCGGATGAATCTGAAGTGCCGGTTTCGGATGGTTTGCATATGTCAGAATCTACTGTACTTGTTTTAGAACCATTTGTGGCTGATTTTGACTTGCCAAGGCTATGTACAAATTTCTTTAGATGTTTAATGAATTCTGGGTAAAGCTCAAGATTGCAATGTCCACCTCCACTAAGCCATAAAGGTTCATACTTTTCCTTGCAAAGCACCCAAAGTTGCTTCCCATGGGACGAATCTACAACCTCATCTGCTGTCCCCTGGACAAGTAACATTTTAGTTTATCACTACTTTCCACAAAACATGCGGCAAATTCTAGTATGAGAGGAGATGGAAAGGAAATGTGACCAGGTGGCTACACT